GAAAGAAAGAAAGAAAGAAAGAAAGAAAGAAAGAAAGAAAGAAAGAAAGAAAGAAAAAGATACACAGGCATTCTGTATTCTGGTAGTGCTCCTGCCAAGGAAGATTTGTTGTCTTGTATTTGATTTCCAGCTGAGTGGATTCCCATCAAAACAAAACCCTAAATCCTTAGCTGAAACTCACATACATGAAAATTCCCATTTGGTGGCAAACGGGTTGAATAACATTTAACACACAACTTGGAAAGCCTCTACCTCCATTCATCCCTGTGTCCATGGGTGGCCACCAATCTCCTCCTGAGCTCCATTGGTGGGACTCCATTCTTGACCTCATAGCTCTGCCCCTCCTGGGCATCTTGAGGAAGCAGAATCACAGAGCATCCTCCCATCTCACTTCCGTCCCCGTCTTTTCCCTCTCCATTTCTTCTTTCCTTTCTGAGACAGTGTCTCTTTCTGTATCAGAGACTGGCCTCAAAATTGTGATTCTCCAGGTTGGAGAGATGACTGTGTGTTTAAGAGAGCTTGCTGTTCTCCCTCAGAACCTGAGTTCTGTTCCCAAAACCCATGCCAAGGGTCTACAACCTCCAGAAGCTCCAGCTCCCGTCCTCACGCTCTTGCATCCGCACACATGGCTTGAGAGAGTGAGAGAGTGTGTGGGGGAGAGAGAGGTAAGGAGTGACAGGGACAGGGACAAAGACAGACAGACAGACAAACAACAGAAATAAATTTAAGAATTTTGATCCTTCTGCCTCGGCCTCCCATGTGCTGAAATTACAGGCTGAGTCGCCGTGCCTGGCTTGACCAGCATGTTTTTAACTCTACCCTCATTGTCGCAGACATCAGAGTTTCTTTTCCTTTTTTATGGCTGAGTAATATTCCATTGTATGAGTAGAACTCATCTATTTATCTGAGGGTGCATCTAGCTGCTGTCTATTATAGACAATACTGTTACAAGTATTGTGCAGAAATATCCAATTTTTTTTTCCTGTGTAAAAATAGCACTGATGAGAAGGAATGAAGAGAGTAGAAGACTTTGGAGGTAACTTTCTGATCTATGTATCTATCTATCTATCTATCTATCTATCTATCTATCTATCTATCTATCTATCTATCTGTAATTTTTTTTTTTAAGACAAGGTCTCATGCAACCCAGACAGGCTGGCCTTGAGCTCCTGGCTCCGGATCCTCCTGCTACCATCACCCAGTTGCTAGGATTATAGGTTTACCCAACTACATCTGGTTTATACACTATCAAGCCCAAATGGTGACACAGTCCACATGTCTATAAAGCCTGAAGCGTGCCTCGGGTGCAACAGGACACTATTCAGGATGTTCTGACAACTGTCAGTGCATGTAGATGAACCCTGGGGACATTATGCTGGCGTGATAATCCAGGGATGAAACAAGCGCTGTATGATTGCATGTACACAAGGTCCTTGGTGAAGTGTGACCCACTGACAGAAAGTACATGGTTTTATGGGGGACCATGAGAGGGAGCGCGGCCAGGTGGACTGGAGGAGCACCTCTGACTTGTCCCAGGAAACCGAGCATAACTACGCAGGGATGAATTGGAGTGAGGACACGGACTTCTGAGGTAACAGGCCTGGCCATTGGCTCCTTCCCAGAAGCTTCAAGTCTCATGAGAGGGAGGAGAATCAGGGCCCAGATAGACAAGTGCTTCCTCCAGTGATCAGAGTTAAGGGCCACATATCTCTAGCTTGCCCGCCCAGTCTCAACCTTCCCACTGGCTCGTGCGCACTTGAGTCATGATGGACCCTTTTGGCTGTGCCTGACTATGGAGAGCCCAGGGGAGACCAGAAAGGAGGGAAGATGGAAACCATTGTCCCTGGATGCTCCTGTATGGAACCTCTCTCTGTGTTCTATTCTGGATCTGATGTTTCTCTCCCCGCCTCCCTCTCAGCGTAAACAAGCTCCCACTGTTTCCAGAGGAAGGCACTAAGTGTCCTTCCATGAAACCCTTCAGTTGCCATTCTCATGCCCCTGTTTTCCCTCGACAGAGGACAGGATCCTGGGAAACATGGAAGGCAGGCTCTAAAGGGTGGAGAGCAGAAGAGACTGAGCAGCCGTCACCAGCCCCGCTCTCTTGATAACTTTTGGTCTTTTCCACCTAGTAGGAGGCAGTGGTGTCCCCAGGTACCTGGGTCCGTGGCGGCCTTCCATCCTTATCCCCCCACCTGCCTTTCTTCCCCAGGACACCTGAAAGTGGTGGCTGATAGGACCAACCTTCCTTGCTCTTAGAATCTGCCCTGGGAACCCTGATGTTACTCCTGCTGATGGGAGTGGGTGGGCCAAGAGGAGCTGCTGTGACATTGCTAGGGGACTGTTCCATCATCACCATTTCCAGCCTGTACCCCACCCAGCCAGGCAAACAGACATCTCCTGTCCCCCCTCTCCAACCTCAGCCCTGCCCCACAGGCCGGATTTCCTGGGCAAGGTCACTCAGTCGTTGGAACCCAGTGTCCCATAAAACCCACTGATGCAGACAGAGCCATAAAGTAGATGAGCAGATCGCCACAGTGGCCCCAGGATGTTTGTTTAGTGCCTCCCTGCAACTCTCCGTGGCTACAGTGGAGGACGTCTCAGCACTCACAGTGTCCAGGGCCCATGGCTTTCCTGGACACCCTTCAGTCCTTGGATACAGGTTGTGTTTGGGTCCTGTCTCCTGCCAGGGCCTTCTCTCCTCTGCCTATCCATGCCAGCCAAGTTTGGACTCAGGAGTTGCCCAGAACCTCCCAGAATATTCCACACACATCTCAGTCCTGGGTCTTGCCCCACCGTACTCCCTAGTCAGGAACCAGTCTAGAGTTACTGCCCCAGCCCTTACAGGCACAGTGAACTACCCTCTTAGAGGCCATATCTCACTCACCCATCTTGCCCAGGCCACCTCCTGCCCCATTCCTGGTGGCCTGGCATCCATACATTACGCAGCCCTGGCTCGTTCTTGACCTAGTGTCATCTCGGCTCATCCTCACTTGCTGGTGATCCATGATGAGACAGACCCTCGAGGTTCTCTCTGTTACAACACTCTTCCAGCCTTGCTGAGGGGAGCATAGGAACTGACTGGTGCCTGTCCATGGCATCAGCATGGACAGAACCACCAGGGAGGATAGAGAAGTGGAGTTGTGTGCTAATAGTTTGGGCCTGGAGTCAGGGAGGGTCTGGACTTGACCGGGGAAGGAGAATGAGTAGAGGTCACAAGACTGTAGAACAGCCAGACTGCAGCTCTGTTGGGGTGTGAGGATGGAGTGAGGTACAAAAAGAATGGGCTTCCTGGAGCTGGGGCCTGGATGCCACTTACTACCTGCCATATGGGGCTTCAGGCTGGCAAGATGGGGAACAGGGTGCTCAGAGGTACAGGGAAGCTTCTAGGACCAAGGGTAATCTAAGAAGCACAATCCATTCATCTCTAGGTCTGATTCCATGGGGCACGGGGCATGTTGGGCCCTGCAGGAGAGTGCTGGCTGCCTGTCACATCTGTACCTCTGAGGACACCCTTGTCTGGTCAGGAATCCCCTTTGTCAAAACTATTGCTAGGGACCTGAGCTCTCCTGGGCCATTTGGTCTGGATGCCCTTTGTCACCCAATCCCAGGAGAGCCAATGGTGGGCAGACACTGAGGGGGAAAGTGGCCTCAGTTCCCTCCAGGCACACTCCTCTTTGGGATGCTGACATGGGTGGGTGGGGTGGGTTTTGCCACCAGTTCTTGAGACCTGAGGACAAAACCTCCAGCCAGAACTGCCTTATGCCTGCCTCATCTGGAGTCGGCTCTCTGGGAGCTGATGACGTTGCACTTTATGGGGTTCTCTGCTTTAAGCTGACCTCACTTGGCTCCATAGACAATATTTGCTTTGGGAAAGAATCAAACATTTTATTTTCTAATTTATTCAGAGGCAGGTTGTTGAACACAAGTTACCTCATTATGAAGGATGAGCTTACAGCTTTGGCATCTGCCTAGGGAGGGGTCACATTTGAGACCAGGCAGCTCCCACAGCCTTCCCTCAGCTCAGTCCTGCCGACCTGGGCCTCTGTACCCTTCTAGGGAGCCAGAGATTGCCAGGCAGGGCTGCCCAGAGTAGAAGAACAATGGGATCAACTTCTTTCTCCAACCTCAGAAAAGCCCAAGGTGCCCTGGGGACACCAGCAAAATGTGGACATGGGGGCTCTGAGGACATTCTGGGTCTGGAGCAGAGAAGCTGCTGGTGGCACCTGAGGCAGGATCACAGACCCCCCAGAGGCTCACCCTCTCTGGCCTTGGCATTTGCACTCTCTCCCATGGCAGGTCTTTCCAGGCTGTGCTGTTTGCGATGGGAGCAGGTCCCACCTGCTCCCTGCTCCCGCTGTTCCCCCTCCAGGGACAGAGCCCCAGCATCCTGCCTTAAGTGGATGGAGGGCTGTCCAGTCGCTTGTGAGTCCTCACAGTCTCTGAGCTGCAGCGGAGCCTCCACAGCGCCCTTCCCCAGGCCCACTCTGACGGGGCCACTCTGAATAGACCGCATCGTGGTGTGTCCATTCCTCTTCCCAGTCTTCACCATGCGTCTGCCCTGCCCACCCACTCCCACTGCATAGGTCAAGGCCTCCCTCTCCTCACACTGGAGAAAGATGGGGAAAGGCCAGACTAGGACCCCAGAGTTTTATCTGCTCTGCCCCAGGGCCAGTGAAGGTTTGCTTCAACTGTTGCCTCAAAGTGCATGCAGCTGCAGAGTTGCAGAGGCTGAGGAGCTCTGTGAGCAGAGACTGGGGCTGGCTTCCATGCTCACCAGAATACTGTGCAGTGGCTGAGGGCCAGCAGCCCAGCCCAGCTTCAGGGTGGGCAGTCAACAGCACACACCAGTCGTTTAGAAGAGCCTGGCTTTCTCCTGGAAAACAGCTTCATGGCCTGAGAGGCCAACAAGAGTTGTGCCACAGAAGGGGTGAGGGTGCCTGAATATTTCCAGGAGCAAAGTCCAGCTCTTTCTCCCTGCCAAGCCCATCACACAGTCTCCAAACTCGCAGACCCTGGCCTGGCAGAACATGTTGGTGAGAGAGATGGTCAGCCACCACAGAACACCAGCTGTGCTGTGTCGACCCATGGCTTAGCCACAGACAGCTGTCTTCATACCATCCCCAAGAGGAGTCCAACTTGTAGACCTGGGGGCAAGGGTGTCTCACATCCCAGAAGACAACATCACAGAGGTGTGGCAGGACCTGGGTGCTCCTGGGACACTCAAAGCCTGCTGGTCTGCATGAGTCCATTGACCTCACAGCTGCGTGTAGGCAGTGTGGCCTGTGGCCGCCCACTCTTGTCTGGCCGTGGCTCTATGGCGTCTGCGTCTTCCATACTGTATCCTCTACGTAGGCAAAGAACCTTCCGGAAGCTCTGGCGGAAGTTATCGGAGAGGAAGCCATAGAGCAGAGGGTTGGCACAGCTGTTGGCATAAGACAGGGCCACCACGAAGGAGTAGAGGCTGATAGAGATGGGTTCCTCAGGCAGCGTGAAGGCCAGGTTGACAATGTTGACAATAAAGAAAGGCAGCCAGCAGCCCACGAACACCAGCACCACGACCACCACCATCCGAGTCACCTTGCGCTCTGAGCGCCTCCGCCGAGAGGAGCTTACACGCATACCCGTAGCCTTCACCTTCACCACAATGAGCAGGTAACACAAGCAGATGACCAGCAGGGGCCCAAAGAAGCCCAGCACAGATGTGTACGTGATGAAAGCTGCATCCCATAGTCCCACGGGCTCCGGCCAGCTCAGGTTGCAGGTACCCAAGCCCTCCTGGACATTTGCGAACACCAAGAGTGGCAGAGACATGAGCAGTGAGAAGACCCAGACGGCGGCACTGGCCAGCTTGGCTATTCGTGGGCGACGCCACCGGGCTGAGCGGAGAGGGTGGACCACGGCCAGGTAGCGGTCAACACTCATTACCATTAGGCAGAAGATACTGGTGAACTGGTTGATGCCGTCCAGCGTCATGACCAGGCGGCACAGGAAAGGGCCAAAGGGCCAGTAGGAGACAGCATTCTGGGTAGCCAGGAAGGGAAGCCCCAGCATAAACAACACGTCAGCCACAGCCAGGTTCAGGATGTACACATTAGTAACTGTCTTCATCTTGGCGTGCCGCAGGACCACATAGATGACCAGTGTGTTTCCACTCAAGCCCACGGTGCACACCAGCAGGTAGAGCACAGACACTAATACTGTCCGGATTCCCATCCATGACCCTGGGCCCTCCAGTGTCCGATTATGGTTACCACTGGAAGCAGCTGAAGCATTCCAGCCAGGTGTGGAAGCCAGAAAGAGGGGTTCCATGCAGTCGGCTTTAGGCCCGGTGTGTCTCTGCAAGAGAAGAGGTCACTAGTGGGCACATACAGGCATTCCTTCCTCCAGCCGTCCCAAGCCCGCCTGCCCGACGGTGGTAGGTAAACACCATTAGTCATGTTCAACTCGGCTGGGAATCACATTAAGCAAATTGTTTGGAAAATGAGCTGGAGAGGAAGAAGAAGCCACGTTGGGGAGAAGAGAATGGGTGGCTCAGTGAGCCAACAGGGGCATTGCCTGTCAATATGGGTACTACAGTAGCTGCCCGATGACCCACAACCTATGACTCTACTTGCTTGACCCCTGCTATCCAACACTCTGTCTCCCAACTCCCTCAGAGCCCTGGAGGGCAGCATTTCAGGAGAGTGACAGAAGCTCAGTGGGGATCGCCTCCCCAGGGCCCCCCAGACTATGAGGAGAAGTGGCTGATAGAGAAGGATGGGCAGGCCAAGATGCCATGGCTGTGGAAAGCCCATCATATCCAACACACGTGGCATCCCTGACCTGTTCTGCCAGGAAGTCCCAAGGCTGGGTCCTCTCTGGGGCAGGGGGCCTCCCGTCCACAGGAGATTCTAGGGAATCTCCAGCAAACTGTCTCCAGCAAACAGTTTCCATCCCCAGCAGAGCCTGAGCCTGTTAGAGGCAGCAATTACTCCAGAGGTCCCTGTAGATACAGTGGCTGGCCCACTTCTCACCGCTGAGGATTCTGCCTTGATGCCTACTGCCCGCCCAGGGCAAAGGTCTGTCTCCTGCTCAGCAATGGCAGATAGCCCTAAGCCCCAGGCTTAGTGCACAAGGTGGAAGATTATACACAGTGTGCCTAATGCAGGGACAAAAACACAAGGAATGAATGCAACAGGGGACATGCCGAGCTGTGGGCATAGCACAGGAGGGGCCACGCAGCATACCGCGTGGCAGAGCCAGGGAGTGAACTCAAGCCTGGGAATCAGAGTGGCAACACTGGGCAGGTGCTTGGGCTTTGTGGAGAGGCAGGTGTGGGGGGCACAGAGCCTGACAGATGAGCGTCAGATGCACTCTCTCACTCACTTGCTTTGTTTCTTAGTGGCTGATGTATCTCATAAAAATGAAGATGCCCAGGAGGAAATAAACACCTCTGTTGCTGGGGAAGAAGTAGAAGGGCAGGACTGGGGCCTACAGTCTGGGCAACTGGCAAGGAACTGAAGTGATGGGAGGGCACAGGCCAGGGACAGGCCATGGGGAGGCAGGAGCCCTCAGCCTGAGCCGGGCTGTCCACCAGCTCTGCTGCCCTCAGAAACCTGTACCACTCATCTGCTCTGCAGTGGCCTGAGCCATAGCAGAATGGGGCACTCCAACAGGTGTCAGGGCAGGGCCTAGCCCTGGGGTGACCAGGATCAAGTAGCGGCAACTACAATCTGACGAATAAGGAAAGGTGGGCCAGGGTGCCGGGATCCCAGAGGGAACAGCAGCAGCAACAAGGAAATGAAAAAGTTTCTCCCTCAACCAGCCACTGCGACAAAGATTCCAAGTTCTCGAGGCTCATGGATGCTAAGGAATATGAAATGGAAAGCCAAGGAGAGAGGGTCCAGCAGTGGACCCTGCAAAAGGTGAAATAAGATCAGATGTCTTAACTAGTATGCCTAGGACATGTTTCAGGAAGTATAAGATCTTTGAGTAAAGCAAGGATAAAATATTACAAGGAGTAAGGAGTAAACAGAGAAGCCCCTCCCAACCCCCACATAAACCTTTAAGTCACAGATGTTGGGCATGAAAAATACAGTCGTTTTGTGCCAGGAGAGGCAGCTCATCTGTTAAGAGTGTCGGAAATTCTTTCAGGGAGCCCAAATTTGAGTCCCAGCACTTACGTTGGGCGCATTACAACTGCCTGTCACTCCAGCTTCAGGGAATCTGATACTTTTGGACTCCGTGAACAACTGTAATTACATGCACACAACCACGCATAGACACGCGTAATTAAAAAGAAAACAAATCTTTAAAAAATGGAAAATACAGTCATTTAAATCAAGAACAGCTAAGACAAAGGAAGCCCATAAAAATGAGGACTAATCTAGTTATTTAGATAGTGTTGAGGAGAGAATTGGTGAAATAGAATATACTGAGGGATGTTGAGAAGATACACACATGGAAGAGATAGGAAGGCCAAGCAGGGACCACAGGATAAGGGGGATGTCCTCTCAGACAGATTGCTAGATGCCTCTTCCTGGCTAGTTATGGCTCCAGCAGGATTAAAAATCACAACCCACCAGCATCACCACTGAGCTGCAGAGCATCACATAAAGAGAAAATCCTGGAGAATATCACTAGGACGTATCACAGAAACACCACAAACAGTGACAATGACAACACGATTCCATCGGCAAAGATAAGGTAAGAGGTACATGAACCTTATTGAATAAAACGGTGAAGGGTACCCCTGGGAATGCAGAGTGATTGCCTAGTAGGCACGATTACCTGGGTTCAATGCCCAGCAATGCGCGAGCCATGTGTGCTAGCACAGGTCGCGATTACAGCACTTTAGAGGGGTGGAGGCAGAAGATCAGAAGCTCAAGGTCATTCCTGACTGCATACTGTGTTTGAGGCCAGCCCGGGATACATGAGACCTGGTAGTAAGAAAGGGGAAGGGCTGAAGAGATGGCCCAGTGGTTAAGAACGCTGGCTACTCTTCCAGAGGAACCCAGGTTCAATTCCCACCACTCACATGACAGCTCACAACTGTCTATAACTCCAGTACCAGGGGATCTGAGGTCCTCTTCTGGCCTCTGCATGCCATGGTATGTAGATATACATGGAGGCAAAAATAGATAGATAGATAGATAGATAGATAGATAGATAGATAGATAGATAGATAGATAGATAAATGACTTAAAAAGACAATGTTAGGTAGGGGATGAATAGAGCTGAGTAAGTGCCTGAGTTCCTCTGTTAGCACTGAAGCCCTGGTCTAGAAGGGTGTCCCTGGATTGAGGACAAAAATGGCTTCAGCTGGAGGCCATGTCATTCAGACCTTCAGCAGGAGACCATGGGAAAGGCCTTTACTCAGACATTCAGACGGGCGCATCCATAGAGGCCAGTAGGTGGAACTGATGATTGGCATCACAGAGGCTGGTTCACAGTGGCTGGTCGCAGGAAATATCCATGTGGTACTTTAAAAGTAAAGCTCACAGGAGCTTTACAGGAGAGCTGGAAGACCTGTCCTAAATGAACTAGTGTAGAGCCAGCCAGGAGTAATGAAACGTCAACTCACCTAACCAGTATACATGGACGGAGACCGAGGGACCAAACAAGGGGTCTGAAATGGGATGGATGAAGGTGATGGATCAGCCCCTGAAGGTAAGCTATCCACTGTTGGTGGTGGTGGTGGTGGTGGGGGGGGGGGGGGCTGATGGGTTCAGAGCCTCCCAAATAAGCTCTGTCTTGGGGCAGCAGTTCTTGGACACATGTCTGACCTTAAGTTTAGCTCTCTGGTGCACCCTTTTTTGTTGCTACCCAGAGCCCAGGAGTGGCTTAGCAGGCCACCAGCCCTTGATACCTCCACAAAACTACAGCTCCCAACCAGTCTCAGAGCTACAAAGAACAAAATGGGCCCGAGAGCTGTGCCTGCCTCTTGGAAAATAATTCTGCAAATGCCGCTTTAAAAAAGAGCAATCTTCTTAGTCACAAGAATTACATGTTCGGGGGAAAATTGCCCCTCAGGCCATTTCGACTGTGGGCATGAGTGAATGAGGGGATTTCACAATGGCCTGCTTAAACAACCCAGCTGGGTGCCATCTTCCCCAGCAGGTCCTGGCCCCACCCACTCACCCCAGTCCCTGCCCTGTTATCTTTGGGGCCTTGGTGCTTCCCTGGGCTCTAGCTCCAGGTGTAAACAAGATCATAGAAATGTAGGGTTGCAGGAGAAGTGAAATGATGGGACCCTAACTCATCTGGAGATGCAAGTGTTAGGTTCCCCATCTTCTGCTCCCCTCCTGCTTTGCTGAGGGTGGGGCTGGAGTCAGACACCCCCACCCCCAACTCACCCTTGCCCACAGCCATAAATGACACCCCTCTTGCTGCCTTGTCCCAAATACACTCCACCTCTGAACATTTCTGGAGGCAGCTTGGGCCAAGGCAGGGGAAACTGAAGCAGGCTTAGCCCAGCTGGGTAGACCAACAGGGAGAGGAGGACTGCACAACCCGGGCGAAGGAGCCCAGGTGGCTGTCCCTGCCCCGAAGAAGGCTGTTTCCACCTCCATGCAATTTTCTCAGGAATCTGGGCCTTTACCGTATGGGGAACCCAATGCTGGCTTATGGTCAGTCATTGGTGCTGCTGGAGGCTCTGGCACACCCCACCTGCGACGCTCACCGACAGTGCCAACGCCTGACTTTGGGCATCTAGGTTCCGGCTCTCATCACCTTAAGTCACAACTGGTGGTGGGGAGAGGTGGGGCGGCCCTGCACATCAGAGAACGTTCTAGGACATTCTCCATCCCACGGAGGGGCGGAATGGCTGGAGGACTGGTGGACTCCAGGACACAAGTGGGGAGACTCTTGGCCATGTATGTGTGTGTGGGGGGGGGGGGGCTCCATTCCCAGAGGGCAGGGGTGTATCCAGACCCCCTGTTCCGGCGCAAAAAAAAAAAAAAAAAAAAAAAAATCGCAGGGACCTCAGATCCCACAGGGCGTCTGTCTATACGCGCCAGGCGGCAGCTCCGTGCTGGTCACCACTCCGCCTGCAGCTCTCGGACCCTTAGGCGCACACCGCCCCTTCTCCCCGACAGTCCCCTACCCAATCGGCGTCCAGCTGCAGACCACCTGGCCTGCTCGATGTCCCCGCTGCTCCCTCCCACCTTCCCTCCGAGCCCGTGGCTCCTGAGGCCTCTGGGCTCTCTCAGCTCTCAACCCTCCCTGGCATTGGGGGCGCGCGCCATGGAGAGGTCGGACCAGGGGGTGCATAAGCAGAGGGAAATATCTGGGTTCATTGGAGCTTCTGACCTGACCCAGGCACACCGGGTGGCCTCCGGGTTTCCGAGATCGGTGAATCCCGAGGGAAAAGGCAGAGGGATGCAGCTCCGAGGTTGGGGAGTGGACGCGAGAGGGACTGGGGGATCCCTGCAGAGATGCCCAGGAGAGCTTGAGAATTCCCTGAGCCGTAGGCAGGGGCCAAATGGAGAGACCCCAGGCCTGGCCTGTGCGCAGAGACAGCGGGAGGGAGCGACAGACCTGTGCGGGACAGGGTGCCCACGCCGGGACGGGCACGGCGGCGGTACTTCGTGGTTAGGCAGCGCCCTCCGGCTCCAAGACCAGCGCGCTCACTCGGTTGCTGTACGAAGTCGACGCCCGCCCTCGGGCTAGGGGGGGGAGGTAGAGAGTGGAGGAGATAGAGGGGGCGGGGCGGAGCAGGGCGGGGCGAGAGCATCGGGTCGAGTTGGGTGGGGCAAGCTCCAATAGGCAGAGCGAGAAAGGGGGGTTCCGGGAGGAGTTGGGGATCTGGGCAGTGGAGTTGGGCTGCTTGGGTGGACTCTTGTCTAGGCAGCTTCGTCAATCTAGCTACCTGTATGGCCCATGTCACTTACGTCTGCCCTCTCCTCTGCGCAGCGCTTGTGTGGTTGACAGTGACTTAGACCACGCCCCCATCCCATCCTTTTTCCAACAACCAGTTTGGGCTGTGATTGGAAGCTTAAGGCTTAAGTTCCTCTAGTGCCTGAAGAATCTTAGAAGAGTCCTCACTTCTGAGAGAAGTTTGGTGGCCTATAGAGATGTCTGAGGTGAGGTTCGAAGAACGGAGGGGAGGCAGTGGGAAGCCTCAAGGCAGAGTGTGATCACCCGGGGTTCTCTGAACGGGCAGGGCTGGGCCTGAGAGTCTATACTGCCCACTAGGCCCCAGGCCTTGGGATGCTGCTTCCTGAAGAGTCTGACAAGAGTTGGGTGCCCACCTTCTCTGGAGCTAGGCACAGAGCCTGTCCCAGCAGCTCCCTGGCCCTGGAGCCAGCGAACAGTTCAGTTCTTTAGCTTGACCTGAAGTCATGCAGCATCAGCAAGAACAACCGACATAACACACATCTAGATGACATCAGGGCCCGGCCAAGCATGTGGGGGTCAGCTGCATACTGCTGGTCCCCAGGGGAGATGCTTCAGCTGATCAGGCAGTCAGTGCCTTAGCTTTCTTGGTTTTTCTGTGGCTCTACGGTCTGTCCATGGAACCTGGATTAGGGTTGTGATGGAGAGAGCCCAACCACATGGAAATTGCCCATTCTCCAACTCCTCACAGTACTCCTCACAGCCAGACTTGGACTCAACATTTAGGAAGATTTTTAACCTTTCCCCTCGTCCTGGGCCCTATGGTCTAAGTAACTGTGAGCTTCTTGGAGGCTGTCCAGATCCTGCCACAAGGGCACCTTCACTGCACCTCGGCACTCGGATGGCAGCTGCTGGCCCACTGCCTCCAGGAGCTGACAGCACCTTTCTGGTGCCCTATAGGGTACATCAAGGTAGACTAAGCCATCCTGGATACCCAGGGTCTCTGCTAGAAACAGGCATGGCGTGAGCAGGGTACCAGAGGTGTGAGGTGGTATGGGAGGCTTTCTGTTGACTGTGTGGGATGAGGAGACAGGCTGGGTCCAATGGAGTGTGCAGAGCCCTCAGGCTAGGGAGGTCATCTGCAGGCCTTCACAGAACTTTCCCCGCGGTTAGGTAGGAGACCATTTCTGAACACTCCCAGTGCGGTGGACACAGCTGGGTGGACACACAAGAACGGCACCTGTCCCACCAGTTCAGTGTGTAGCAGAGAGGTAATAAACAACAACAATATAGAAAATTTTAGGGACTGGAGCGATAGATGGCTCCGAAGTTAAGAACACTGATTGCGGAACCAGGATTTGATTCCCAGCACCCACACAGTAGCTCAAAATGGTCTGTACCTCCAGTTTCAGGGCATTTAATGTCTTCTTCTGGCCTCTGAGTGCACCAGGCACACGTAATGTACACACACACACACACGTACAATACCCATGTGCATACATAAAATAAGAAAAATAAGAAAATTTGAAATCTTGATAAAGACAACAGGAGGCCAAGGACCACCTCTGGCGTGGTGTGGACAAATGAGGAAGAGACTTGGACAGAAAGCAGCAGGTTGAAGGCCGCAGGGTGGAGAGAAGCTCTGTGGCTGAGCAAGTGAGCCAAACACGAGTGGTGGCTCTGGTGCATCTCCTTGTCCTGTGCCACAGCTCTGGCTACTCCACGCCAGCCATTGTCCCCTCTCATTTTTCTCCTCAAACGTGCTGCCCGTCACCAGCCCTCTCACTCACTCACAGAGTTTAGTGTGGCCATTTCCAAGATCAGGACATAGACAGAGCAGCAAGTAGGGCCTTGCCAGAGATCGGCAGAGGTGACCTCCGGAGGCTGCTTCTAGGTAGCACATCTGCTCACTGCTAACCTGGCCTGGGCTCTGCCAACTGGGACAGCAGACAGGCCATGTGCCTTGCTCCATCCCAAGCCTCCCACCAGCCCAGGTCTCCAACAGAACCCCATTCAGGCTGATCTCTGCCTGGCCACACCTCCTAATTTATCACCAACAGGATGTGCCTAGCAGCAGCAGGGTCCCGTGTCCCCAGCTCCCTGGCAAAGACTGAGGCTATCCATATCTGAAACTGCTCATGACCTTGCCTGCCTACACGGAGGTTGGCTCTTTCTGAGCATTTTCCTATTATGGGATAAGGAGTGACAGGAGCTGTCTTCTGGCTGCCATCTGAACCAGAGGTGCTGCAGGCCGAGCAGAGGTTGCCTTTGGCCTTAGAGCCACCTCAGGTCTGGTGCTAGTAGGCATAGGTAGGCTGGGCGAGAGTGGACCTCGCTCTCAGAGTCTCGCATGAAGACTGGCACAGTAGGTTGGCCACTGAGGGGTGGGTGGCCAGGCTTCACTCCTCACCTTATGGAATTCAGGTCAGCCCCTCACGGGCTCTGTGACAGCAGGCTGGGAGAAACCACTGTTCTTTCCCCAGAGCAGGCCAGGGGAAATGCACACAGGTATCTGCCTGTCATACTGGCCCAGGGGCCAGCTCCCCCCTGTCTTGATGGCCTACAGGCTGGCTGTCCATACGAGGACTTAATGCAAGGGCCCAAGCCGGGAGGTAAGGGATGTCCAGAGGGACAGGTGAAAGGATGGGCCTGGGGCCCCACTGGTCTCCTTAAAGAAATGTGGTGTCCAGACATGGTTGGCCAAGGGATCTAGCCTGAGGATCTATATTTGTTTTTAGCTATCTGTCTGTCATACACAAAGAGCTCAGTGCCTTTTGGTTCCCACTAATTCTAGGGTCTGGTTCCCATGTCTGCCTGTTGATCACTGCTCTGAGTGATGTCTTTGTCCTGTTGGCTGCCTAGCTGAGCCTTGTCGGCAGGTGTTAGTGACTGCCACCTTCCATTCCACAGGCCAGGCCGGTCATGTGAAGCATGGGCTGAACAGAGGCCCCATTAGCAAGATGGAGAACAAATTAACCTTTCTGGGCAATGGTGAAGGCTCCAGCATACATAGCTTGGACTCTCTGCCCTCAGTACACGGTAAATAGAAGGGAGATCCAGGGTGTTTAGGCACCATTAGTACCTGCCATACCGAGGAATACCCTTGGATAGCTGGAGAAACTGAGGGCCCAGGCAAAGGAGCCATATTGGCTGAGGTTCCCAGTGAGCCATGTCCTCCTCTGCCAGGACCTTGTGGTTGGGACAAGCCAGTTGGGGGAACACTATGGACTGACTATCCTAAGGCGTTCAGTCACTGTGTAGCCCAGGACTGCTGGGCCTCCAGGCTGCAGATACAATGCTGTCTGACTGACAGGGCAAGTCTCAAAGATCCCAGCCACCTACTTGGCGTGTCCCGCAGAGAATCTTCTGTCCACCTTCCCAGGATGGGTTCTGGGGAAGCTGGAGGCTGGGCCTCTGCATCTGCCTGCTCCTCTAAGTCATTCACCTCACGGGAGCTCCTTGGGTTCCACTGTGCCCGTGTACTACAGCTCTCATGGAAGGGGTGCTCCAAGTGCTGGCATCTGCTCCCTCTGCTCTCCAGTCTCCCCGCCTCTTTCCTCAGCCCTGATGCCCTTACCCCTACCCGCCACTTTAAGCCCCGACAGAGCAGAGCACTTTCATGTCTCTACTTCCCCCGAAAGGCTCTGGGATTCCACTGTCAGGAGTGGCTGTCAACAGAAGGCCACAGCCTCTGATTCAGGCAGGATGCTGGGGCCGTGTAGGCCCTCCTTGGAGTCCATGATAACCTATAGGTGGCCTGGTTGCTGGAGGCCTGCTTCTGCCTCCTTGATGACCTTTGCTCTAGGCAGGAACACCTCACCTCAGGCCACTCTGCCAAGGAGGATCAAATAAGGTGAGGCCTGCATGGGGACACTGCAGAGAGGTCCAGTGGGGAGGGAGGGGGGAGGATTAGCAGCTGCCTGGAGCCATGGCAACGGGGCAGTGGCCTCATGGTCTCCCCAGAGATGGTTGAGCATCATTTATGGAGACCTCCATTCCTTCTGAGACCCACATCTATGACAACTTGTCAGAGGCTGCTCGGTGGCTGTCAGGGACAAAGCCCTTTCTCTCAACCCCTGACAGGGTGCCATGAAGCTCTGTGGTTATTCAAGAGCATTGGAAGCTATCTGCAGCCAGACACCCCGAGCTTCTCTTGCTGCCACTGATTGCCAAGCCTTCACTCCGCTGTCCCCATACCTAATGCACCCACCTTCCCTCTCAAGTGAATCCCTTGCTACCCCCCACCGTCCTGGCTTCTCTGCTTCTGTCTAGGGGTCTGGTACACAGCAGTAGCCCAGTAAACATCGGGCAGCCCACTTCCTGGCCTCTGCTGCTGGGGCGGGCGGTGGGGCCCATGCAGGGGGAGAGGAGACCAGCCTCCTGTGAGGCCGGCACAGCGGGTTGCCACCCACTCAGCCTCTGGGACACTGCCAGGCTCCCAGCAGGAGCTGACGGTCGCAGGCCAGGCGTGCAGCGGTAGACTGTCTCAGCAGGGCTGCAAGGATGTCTCGGGCCGGGAATGTCAAAGTGTCACAGAGTGTGGAGGACATCGTATAGGCTGCACATTCTAATTGGGAAGGGGGGGGGCGCTGACTGGTCAGCAGACGGTCTCTGTGAAGGCGTATGAGTGAGGTCCAGGCAGACAAAGCCGAGCGTGATACCCACCCAGGGACTAGATGGACAAGGACCCTGGACTCCTGGGGACCCGTAGGCAGGAAGGGACAGCTAACTCCCTCCTGGCTGTGGCCACAGGCTCCAGCAGATGCCACTAGAAGTTTAACAG